TCCTCTATAGGGATGGAGAGATACAGAACGATAGAAATTAGGAAAGATTATACTACCTAAAATTAGAGAAAAACAAGGCTCTTTGGCAAACCTCCATGTGACATAATCATTTTTTTTCTTTTACTTACATTAAATTTCACACAGTGACATCAGTCCACTTCTAAAAATACTTCTAAATCCAAATACATATAGAACCTCTGTGAAATAAAAGCTGAGAACTTTCCAGATAATACGATGGTAATTTTTAAGAACCTATAATACAAGTTACAGAATCCATTTCATAAGTCCCTGTAGGTTACCAAACCTGTGTTGGGCTCTTAGAGGCCTGGTCCATCACAAGAGGCCTTCCACATCCTTAAAGATACATTGAAAAGGTCAGGTTTAGGGTATTCTTCAAGCCAGTTGGCAATCAAAAGATATTAAAACATTCCTCTTCTAGTTGCTAAGTATGTGTGCATTGCCCACCCCCACTGACACACGTCCTCCAACAAGGCCACACGTACAACAAGGCCACACCTCCTAATAGTGCCATTTCCCATGTGCTAAGCATATTCAAACCACCACACAGAGCATGTCCCCATGTTCCCTCCCAAACTTCCCATCAAGCCCCATTAGGAACATGCTAAGAGGGGAGGCTTTGAGGAGAGTAAGCCCTTGACAGCACCATTGTAATAAGGTTGGTGTACGCTCTTTCCTCTCCTCTCTTCTCCTCCCCACTCCTCTTGATCTCTCTCCTCACCTCCTTCCTCTCCCCTCCCCTCTCCCTCCCTCCCTCCTCTCTTCTCCTCCCCACGTCTTCTTGCTCTCTTCTCTTCCTCTTTCTCCCTCACCCACACCAAGATGGCTATGTGCAAACTAGAACTGAGACAGTCAGCACCTCAGATTGACCTTAGATTCTATGCTTGGTTGTGGCAAAGCTCAACCTAAGACAGAGTAATTCCCAAAATGACTATCAAAACCATTGGTCAAGCCAAAAGGTGGCTGTACCCAAAGTGTATGAATTCCTTTTAAAATGGTCACTCACATAGAATCTAGGAAATGGCTTACATTCACCTCACCAGAAAGGAACAAGGCAGTTTGTTTATTTAACAGACTAGGAAAAAATACGAACCAGTTAGCTATGTAAATAAAACACATGCACAGCAGGTGAACTGTTGAAGCTAGGCCTACATCTCTACCTAATGCACCCCAAGTGGGCAAAAAGTAGACAAAACATTTCACCATTTCTGGTAATATTCAAACTTTAAACAAAGATATTTACTCCCACAAACTCTTGGGGGTTGTGGTGGTTTGAAAGAAAATGGCTCCATGGCCCATAGAGTGTGGCACTACTGTAAGATGTGGCCTTGTTGAAGGAAATATGTCACTGGGGGGTGGACTTTGAGGTCTCAGATGCTCAAGGCAGGCCCAGTGGCTTGCTGTCTCTTCCTGCTGTCTGCTGATATGAATACAGAACTCCCAGCTACATCTCCAGCATGCCACCGTACTTCCCACCACGATGACAATGGTCTAAACTTCTGAACTGTAAGCCAGTCCCAATGAAATGCCTTCCTTGATGAGAACTGCTGTGGTTATGGCGTCTCTAAGATAGGGGTGAAAGACTATGTCTATGAAAATAGACCACAGGGTTTACAGAAGATGATGGAAATGAAAATTGGGGGTGTTTCAGTGCATTGATTGCAGGGGGATTGAAATAAATATAAAAACAAAAAGCTCACAAAATAGATGATAAAACATCAGTTTGGGCAGAGAAAGAAATGCACAGAAGACAGCAGACAGAAAAGGGATAAACACTGCTGAAATACTATTTAATAACAACAACACAGGACTTCCAAGCATTTGCTCTGGTATGAGTGGTGCTGCCCCCTAGAGGCGGCGTTCCTAAAATAGACACGTTGATGGAAGTTTACTTGCATTTTACCAGGTGGGATCATCAACGTTGCAGGCAGCCAACACAATAAAGACTTACCCCCATAGCACAATGTGTAGTTGCCTTTTAAATACCTGTGTCACTGCAAATACAATCCACAGCCATCTGAGTCTGTTAACTTCATTTTTCTGCATCAACAAACAGAGGACTTCTAGCACAGGCTAATGTGCTTAGGGTTTTTCAGGAACGCAATTATTCACTACACTGAAGTACGCTTGAATAGCAATGCCGATGAATGAGGATCCTGGAGCCACGCCATCTTGATTCAATCCCAGTTCTTCCACCACCACTGGCAGAACATGGTTGGACATCTCCCTCAGATGAAAGATGGGGTGACCATGGTACTCAGCTCACAAAGACTGAGGACAGTGCCAGGGACAGAGTTAGCTTCGTATCATGGTGTCATAGGCATGTTTTGTAGAACCCTCCACATTTTAGAAAATTGTATCGGCATCCTCTAGGTACCTGGTATTAAATGGCCGGTGTAACAGGCCGGTTTTATAGCTACCATAATCATGGTATTATTTTCTTTAAAAATTTTGTGTATAAGCATTTTGCCTGTATGCATGTCTGTGCATTACGTACATGCAGGGCCCAAGGAGGGCAGAAGAGGGCATCAGATCTCCTAAGACTAGTTATAGATGGTTGTGAGTTACCACGTGAGTGCCAGGAACAGAGCCCGGGAGCTCTGGAAGAGCAGCCCGTCCTCTTAACTGCTGAGCCATCTCTCCAGGCCCCACATTCATGACTTTATACTATGTATGCGTGTGTATGCCGCATACCGGTGTACTATTGATTATAACGTCTAGCTAGAGCAGTTACATATTGAACTATTTGATTTCTTTACACTTCAGCTGTGACATCCTATCGCATACAACCTGCCAAATGCTTTTACGTGTGCATCTTTTATGACTGCATTAGGTGATTGTAGTGATGTTATAAAACAAGGAGGACCGCAGAGAAACAAGACCCTCTAAGTCTAAATCAGCGTGAGCGAACCCAGAGACCGAAGCAGCAAGCACAGCATCTGCAGGGGTCTTCAGCGATCGTATGCAAGTATGTAACGACTTCCAGCTTAGTGGTTTTATGGGATTCCTGGGGGTGAGTGGGTCTCAGATTCTTGTGCCTTCTCTTGGACTCTTCCTTCTGTCAGTTTGCATTGTCTAACTTTGATGTGATAGCTTTTAACTTTTATTTTGTAAAAATGAGTGAATGAGTGAATGACTGAATGACTGAATGAATGAATGAATGGAAAACCTAGCCACTGTCATTTTTACCTTCTGGGAGAGGGAAAATCACTTTTCTCCAATAGAGTGACAGTAAGTATATCAACCACTCCAGGACAGGCATCATGTTCAGGAGTAGTTGGCAAACCTACAGCAGACTCTACAAGTTTGATGTGTGTGTGTGTGTGTGTGTTTGTGTGTGTGTCTGTACACTTTTACTCGACTACAGTGTGTTGAGTTAGGTTTGTTTGTTATATTGATTTTTTGTTTTATGACTGTGTTCTTGTTTTCTTAGTTTGGGGCTCTTGCTTTTGTATTGGTTTTTTTGTCATTTCTTGAGAAAGAACTTAAAAGTAGAGGATCTAGAAGGACTTGAGGAAGGAGAACATGATCAAACATATAAATTTTTAAAATGTCTAAAGTAACACAAAATAAAATATAATTTAAAATGAAAAATATTTCTTCAAAAAGGGGGAATGGTGTTGGGTCGGTTTGACAGGGCTAGAACGTCACCAGGAAGCTGCTTTCACCCTTCCTCCATCTTTCCATGTAAACTGTTCTCGCCATTGAAGGGAGGTAAGTGCTGAGCCCAGGAGTTCCCATTCATTTTGAAGAAAGTCTTTATTGTATGCATGCATGTTTTCCTGTGTGTGTGCACACGCATGTGCGTGTAGATCAGAGGCTGACACTAGGTTTCTCCCTTGGCTGCCCTTCCATCTTACATACTGAAAATTGATCTTCCACTGACCCAGAACTTGCAGACTCTACTCTAGCTGGCCAGCCTGCTCCTGGAATCCCTCATGCAGGAAGTACAGGCAGTCACCTCTCCTGCAGGGATGAGTTGGGACTGGGGATCCAAACTCTGGCACTTTCCGTGTACGGCAAGCTCTTTATCCATGAAGGCATCACCCCAGTCCCGTTTTGAGGAATTATTATTAGCTGTTGCTATATATTTCAAAAAGCAGAGGCTTACAAAATACTTTAGCAGCAATAGAGTTTTCAAACATAATTCAGGTTAAAAACCCCAGATGAAAATACAAAGAAAAGAGAAATTGTGAAGACTGCAGAGGAAGCCAGAACTTTCCCTGGACTTCCTCCAGAGCTTCCAGGAAGAGTGTGGGAAGCACCACCTGGTGTAATAATTTGAGTTGAACACTGCGGAGAAGAGTTAAGTTTGAGTTCTGAGAATCCATTCTTAGGATGTTCCTTCAGTTTAGAAGAGACATTTTCTGCAGAGAAAAGTGGCCACACCACATTAACCACGCTGTCCGAAGCTCTGTACACCATTCATCAGCTGGACTGAAACTCCCCTCCAGACCAGAGACTGAAAGCAAGCATAGTGTCTGTGCACAGAGCCCACTCAGACCAACAGGAAACTGGCAGGGGCCAACTCTCCTTGAGTGCTCCTTCCTTACCTCCAGGGGCCCTTTCCTTTACACTGCTCATGGGCTGTGGGTTATGTACCAGATGAATCACCACACAAACCTCTTCAATCCCTCTTTGTGGTGTCATCTGGGATCTGCCCCCAGCCAACAGACTAGCTTCTCAAAGTGCCCCAGACACTGAAGGGAATATGTTGGTGTGGGTAAAAAACAATGACACTAACAGAAGTGGCCACTGTGTCCCTTCACACTCACCCAGAGCCATTAACATGGGGTGGGGTAGCCTTACTAACTCCAGTGATCCCCCTGTCAACTGTACCTCAGGCAGATCAGTGGACAAGCCCAGCGGTGTGGAAGAGTATGTGGACGCCAGGCTACAGCTCTGCCCAAGAATACCTTGGAAAGTTCCATTTACATTTGTCTCTTTAGCTCCTCTACCACAAATTCATAAGAATCCCAAAACGCTTGGGAGGATTTATTCCGGTCTTTAATATGAGCGCCCACGCTGCCAACGGCCAGCGTGGATCACTGGTAAATCTGAAAACACGTTGAATGCTCTTTTTCCTTTCACATATGACGCAAAACACAAATGTTTCCATTACATGTGACTAAGAGTAAGAAAAATATACAACTCTATTTAAAACACTTAAATTAACAAGATAGGGTTTTTCCATTCTAGCAAAATATTGTACATTTGGTTTTAAACAAGAGTTAATATCCAGACACACATTTTCAAAACACCTGATCCTAGTTGAAAATCAGTGACCATGAGGCTTTCCAAGAGATTCCTAATTAGCAAAAAACGTGTACACCTGGGAAGGACTGTAGGCTTTTTTTTTTTTTTCCTAGAACACAGACATCAAACAGACCAATACTGCGAACTGACCGATGCCCCATAACTCTAAATCTGGTTGCTTCAGCTTTCTGAACCATACACTTTGGCTGCTAGCAAATCCTATAGCTTCTTTCCCTCACTGACCAATACACATAACGGCAACACCTCTCACAAAAGGCACACACTTCTTTGTATATGTTAAGTTCCCTCAAAGCCTGCTAGTGAGCTTGTGTACTGGCTCACCTACATGGAGGCTGTTACTGAAAGGAAGGGGGGCTGAACACATGTAACAGCTGATCCGTAGGTAAAGCCTTGCTCCAAAGAGCCTCACACACTTACCACGTCATTCTGCAGTGGATGCTGCCACACTTATAAATATGGTCTATAGCTTTAAAAATCAAAACTGAAGTTTTTCCCCTTCTGCTTTTTCAGATACGGAAGTTGGACCACAAACCAACATCTATGTGACAAAACCCATCAATTTTAGTCCCCGCTGACCCAAGAAAACAAAAGTGAACAATTCTGCCCAATTCCTGACATTAAGTTGTCTGGCCAACACCAAACTTTAAAGAATATGTCTCCATGTTCCCACAGTGGGAAGGCAAAACTAAGCAGGCTGTGCTATGTCCGTCCTTCCTTCTGCCTCCACAAACAACACCTAAGATCCACCGAATTTGATGCCCTCTGGTGACTTCAAAACTCCAGGAATGGCAGTATACAATCTTAATTAAAAAAAAAAAAAAAGAAAAAAATGAAATGAAGTAAGGTCGCCCTGGAGCACTGTGGGTGTAGTCTGAAGAAGCTGTCCACCGAGGAAGAAGGCACTTGCTAGCAGGAGACAGGCAGGAAGCTGGCGGAGCAGCAACCTCAGTGAGTCAACAGCTTGAGACGAGTCAGCCAGCTGACCAACAGCGACGGCTCCCCAGAAGACGCCTTGGCCGAGGAGGCTGATTTCTTCTTGGAACCTTCCTCCTGGAACGGAATGGTGGCGCTGCTGTGGAGATCGGAGTTGATATAGCATCTGCTCCCTCGGATGTAGTCCGTACCTCGCACCAGGTGCCGCTCAGTTAGGGGTCTAGAGAACCGGTACACAGGAGAGGCACTTTCTTCAATGATGGGTGTAATCCGCTCATTGCTGAAGTACCGGCAGAGGGCTTCTTCCCCTGTTTTCAAACAAAGACAAACTATCAGAACAAGGACCCCCAGATCTGACACCACACTGCAAGTAAACACATACCCAGCTCTCTGCCCTGCAAAGACCTATGAAGGGCTTGCCCCTCCTAAGACAACCATAAGGGTTCACGTCAGCATTATGATTCAATGAGAAATGCCAACTCATGGACTGACTGTGTATCCTCAAAGGCTGCCATGTGCTGAGAGGCTGTGGAGCCTTTGGGAGGTGGGGCCTGGTTGGAAGACAGAGCTCACAGTGGGTGGTCCTCTGGAGGCCACGCCTACTCTTGGTTCCTGCAGCTACTGACATGCTGATCCAAGTCTATCACCTCACACACGCCCTGCCACACACAGAATGTCTCTTCCAGGCCTTCCCAGCTTTGAAGGGCTAAAATCTTGAAACCATGAAACAAAGCAAATCCTGTCTCCCTGAAATTGCTTCAGTCAAGCATTTTGGTTTCAGCAAGAACAAAAAGACTAACGAATACAGAAAATTGGGAATTCAGAAAAGTGGTGTCGTTGCTGACTGAAACTTGGCTGTGTGTTTCTTTGGTGTTTGGAACTTGGTCGCAAGAAGAATGTGGAAAAGTCTGGAATTGTGAGTCAGCGACGCCCCTTAATAGGTCATTTGGGTGGGAGGTCAAAGTTCATAATGTTGACAGGAAGGTTGACAACATTCAAACTCTTGAGGTTTAAGATGAGAACAGAGGCTGTACGGAATTAGACTATGGGCCACTTAGGTTACAACTGGTGCAGAATTTGTCTATGTTCTACCTATGTCCTGAGGTTTAACTCAAAAGGGAGAGAATAAATAACCTGGAAGACAAGAGTTAAACACAGTACAGCACTCAGGCTGTGGGGCGGCACCTGCTCGCTGTTTTAAGTCACATTTACAGTGAGAGCGAGAGCTACAGCAGAACAGACTTGAAAAAGACGAACATTTGTCAGCGAAGGAACATTTGAAGCTGCAGACAGAGCCTGCCTGGTTGTTAGACAGTCCACAAAAAGAAGCCAGGCACTCTGAGCTGGGGTCCAGTGCACTGGGGTGATGAGTTGCCTTGAGAACATCTCAAGGTACACTGGCCCCCCCCCCCCCATCAAAGGCTTTGGAGTGTCAAGCTTGTGAAATGGCTCAGGGGGTGAGGATGCTTGCCACCAAGTTCAATTCCCGAAACCCACATGGTGGAAGGAAAAAACCAACTCCTGAAAGTTGTCCTCTAGTCTCAACATCCATTCTGCCACTTACGTACTTACACACGCACACACTCTCACACACAAGCATGCATGAACACACGCACGCACACACACAGATGCATGCATACACATGCAGGCATATAGCACACACACTCTCGCACACAGGCACCACACACACATAAGCATGCACACACTCACACACCACACACATATACACCACACACATGCACGCACCAGAGACACTTTCATAAATACATATACACACACACACTCATGCACACCACATACAGATACCACACAGACACCATACACACACACATAACCACAGTTACCACACACACACAGATAAACATACATCTGCACATGCATGCATACACATACGATTTTAAGTTAGCTTTCTTCCAAGATGCAGTAAAGGGTTGCCTAGGATAATGTTCCCCTAGTACTTAGAGGTGGCTGCAACTGGGGTCAAAGCAGGGCAAGATACTTCTCCAGCTGTAGAACTCAGTGTTGTCCATATGGCACACAGCACATATGAATTAAGAGGTCATGAAGGTTTACCCACAGAGTTTTTTTTTTTAAGTAAAGGCCATGAGGCTAGCCAGCGTATAATAGACTTCCCTTCAGGGAGCCCCCAAGATGTCAGTGGAGCCGTGAGTGTGGAGCCTAACTTGTAGTGGAGATCCCAGAATGCTGAAGAGCATCTGAAAGGAAGGCTGCGGGTCCCAAACAGAGCCACTCGAAGAGACACCACACACCTGCAGTCAGAGCAGGGATGTCACACGCCTGCAGTCAGAGCAGGGCTATGGAGCAAGATGTCCAAGCCCCTTGAAGCATGTATCATGTTATTACGCTTTTGAGGTGTTATAGGTGGAGTTAGACAAATTTGCCTGGCTAGGTTTTAGTCTTGTGCTGCCCTGGAATATTACTCTGCAACTGAATACTAAAAGTACGTAACTTCCCTTCTGATTTCAACAGAGGCTCACAGAGTTGTCTTTGAGTCTCAGAATACTTTGAACTTCCAAACAGTATTGGAACTATTACTAAGATGATGGGCTGGCACGGATGCCTGTGTATCACAAGGTGGAAGTAAGCCTTAGGAAACCAGGGATGGAATGTTGTGGTAAGATTGTGCAATGTTCCCCAGGGGTTGATGTTCTTAGTACTACTTCTGCTGCTGCTGCTGCTTTGAGGAACTGTGGGAGCTTTAGGAGGCGGGACCTGGCTGGCATGCAGTCATTAGGGGTAAGCTTTTGAAGGGTACAGTGCAGCTCCTGGTTCCAGCTGCTTTCTGCTTCCTGGTCTGTCACCAGGTAAACAGCTCCTACCTCAGCTTCCTCCTGCCACCGTCAGAGCCTCCCCACCACGCCTTCCCCACATGACAAACTGACACTGTAACCCAAATAAACATTTCTCCTTAAAAGTTGTTTCTGTCAGGGTTTTCAGTCATATGACATGAAGTGGCTAATATACTCAGGCTCCTAGTAACCAAGAGCTAACACAACGGCCCAGCAGAACCGGAGAGCCAGACCTTCTTACCTTTATATTTCCATAACGCCACTTAAAATAATAAACCAAAGATAGAAAAGATGTGTTTCTATCCCTGCTTTCATAGATACTGATAAGATGGCTCCTAGTGATACTCTGCTCAGTGCCCTGTTCAACCATGATCGGGAAGGCTTCCTCCTGCAGTAGATGGGAACAAGTATAGAGACCCACAACCAGACACTGACTACATAGCCTCCTGTCTCCCAGCATTTTTGACCAAAATCTTTTCACCTTGATGTATTTCCCTGCCTGTGTGTCCCTTGTTCAAGTCTGAGAAATATCCTGTTATACTGTCAAAAAAAAAGTCATATACTGTATATATGTACTTACAAAATTGGCAAATTCATGGACCAGGGACTCTCAGAGACTGAGAAAGGCAAAATTAGCCATGAGGACCGCCAGGCACAGAATGCTTTATCGGGTATGGAAATGTGCTGTGATCAGACTGTAGTGAGTAATATACAATTCTGAGTAGGTTAAAGCCACTGAGTTGAATCTATCCAGAGGGCGAGGGCTCCATCCCAGGAGCCGTGCGCAGAGAGACATCACCGTTTCTAAAGCCGTCAGTGAGTTCTTGTAAGCCCCAATCCCTGCACTCCACCACTCCATATAGGAAAGAGAATGGTCTAGAGCCACACGCAGGGAATAGCAAGGATTATGTGTGCTTCTTAAATCTTAACAAGGCCAGCCCTGCCACCTGCTGACTACTGCACAGACTTTTCTCTGTACACTGAGAGCTTCAGGAACCAGAGGCTGGCGTCTTATCCCTCTGTCGTGTTGGTAAGATCCAGATGATGTAAGTGCACAGCTGACAGAGCTACCCAGGAGATGCTGGGAGTTGCTCACTCGGAAGGTTAGGCCTCCACAGTTTATTCTGCTCTTTCCCTCACGGCTGGAAGCCCATCTTCCTCTGCCCTCACCTGTTCTGTTTCAACACTACAAAAGCAATGTGGTCACTTCCACCCAGGGCTGGCAATCAGAGCCTGTCTGACAAAATGGGTACAAGTTTTTGGTTTTTTTTTTTTTTGAGACAGGGTCTTGCTATGTAAACCTGGCTAGCCTAGAACTTACTATGTAAGCCAGGCTGGCCTCAAACACAAGAGATCGGCCTGTCCTTGCCTGGCAAGTGTTGGGATTAAAGGCACATACAACTGTGCTCAGCAGACAAAAATATTTTTAAATATTTCCTTCAAGACTAGTATAATAATAAGTAGCTGATTACAGGGTGAATTAGAAGTGATTTTCAGACATTATGCCTTAATAATTTAAGGAGGATTTGTTTGTTCATTAAATATCCAGTTTAAAAAAGCAGTCATGTAAGTAAGGATGTTTAATAAATGTTTTGTGTAAAAAGTGGATCCTTTGTGTCCAGAGCCTTTTAAAAAGCCAGGATGCTCAATTCACAACTGCTAAGAAGGAAGGTACATTTCCATTCTAGAAAGAAGCAGTATTACAGGACCCTTCAGCAAGCTGAAGAGCTAAGCGGGGTCTCCAGTCAGGAACATCACCTCTGGGAATAAAGCACGGGGTGGCCTGGGTCTACGACCACCATTCAGCACTTTCGGTTTGCTCAGATGAAACATACCTTTCCTCCCGTGACCTCGAGGTTTAGCAAAAGGGTCCACGATCCCCATCCAGTTCCCATCTGCAGGCATGGACAGAGGCCGGGGCTTGCCTTCAGAAACCAGACAGTGAAGCAAGGTGAGTGACGTTATCAACTGAGTGACGTTATCAACTTTAGACAGTCCCTCCCTTCACTTATAGACTAGATATATATATCATATCCATACATATACATAGCCATGCCCACTTAAATAGACGTGACAAGCAGTGACAAATTTTAAAGTTCCACATTGACGCTGGAAGCAATCAGGATAGAGGCATGCTGAAGTGGAATCTCTGAGTCTTCAGTGCCAAAGTTAAAACTATAACGTGAGCTCACCCAGCTGGGCTCTGATGCTGGGCAGAGCAATGGCTCAACAAGGCTTAGCTTTAGCCAGATGATTAAGGGGCTCATACTTGGAATTTCTCTGAGGTTTATGCTTCCCTCAGATCACCTTCAGAGACTGCCAAGTTCATGCCAGAGCTCCAGATAAAGAAGGGGAGAGGAAGAAGAGGCAGCAGAGCATGCTGCGTGCTGGAGGACTTACCATAGGACGGTGTCTTCCCTCTCATCTTTGCAGGCAGAATATTGGTTCCCACCGAATACCCGGGCAGCTGATCAGAATCTGTGATGGTGAATCTGCGTCTTTGGCTCTCCTGGTCCAGGAAGGAGTTCGGGGACTCAGAACCCTTGCGCCCAGGCAATGGCTGTTTACTCTTACTGTGTCCTCCGTAGCCGAAACTCACGTTCTCATCCCTGGAAGACAGTGTGTGGTGATCAGGGGGTTCAGAGAGCAGCTTTCTCGCTGAAGAGTGAACAACAGAAGCCCAGCTACCATGGGCACATGTCTCCTTCCCACTAAGAAGCACTACTTATAAGTCGCCCCTTCAAGTACATGCAGATGGCCCTGCTGAAGTACAAATGCCATGAACCTGTTAAGTCCGAGCAAACACGGCTTTTTCGTCATGTATGTCTACACAGAACAAACACACCCTGAAAACACAGCTCTTGCTTCCTCCACATTCTCCAAGTCAATTTCCCATCGTGACAAGAGTCTGCAGCTGAGGTGTGAGCTACAGCACCATTTTCCTCACTGAGTAGGATCACTGCCTGAATCCAGCAAGAAGACTCTTGACGTGTATGGAAGTTGTTAGTTTTGAAAATTCTTTCAACACTATAAAGGGTGCTTCCCGGAAACCAGAGGAGAGGGATTATTTTTGAACTCAGTAAAAAGCTAAGCTGGATCAGCAACGCCATCCTAATCCTACTTAAATTTCAATATACAGTGGAACTCAGTTTTTACTGAGCCCAAGTTTGCCGGTGAACAATTATTGTGAGGTAATCAGTAAAACCCAATGGGGCAGAATACAGACCAAGGAGGGCAGTGCAGCCTGCGAGAGACATCCCCAGGAGGGCCTGCTATCCACATGCACTCAGCTTCTCAGAATCTGTCTTCTACAGTTAAACTCACCCTATAACCTTCTCAGCTCACAAGCTTCTGTGACTTCTGACTTGTTTATCTAATCCCCCAGAGAAGGTGCTTATGTGATAAACATACAACCTCGTCTCCCCCAAAGGGACTTTAAAGTCCCAGCTCCCTTCCTTCCTATGGACACCTTTCTTTTCAGTACACATTCAATGACACTCTCATTGAAACCCAGAGAACGCTAGGGGTTGGAGCCTCCAGCCCTATAGTTCCTGACACAATGACCCACACCTTGGCCAGTAAGGTTCTAGGGTCCCCACATAAAGTGACAACATCCCCTGCAGCTTTAACCCATCCGAATCTGTGCCTTAGGACCCTGTGAATCAGGGACGAGGCCCACTTGCTACCAGATGCCTCTGATCACTGCACAAGAGGTACATCTCTACATGGTGTCATTCTCTCTGGGTAAGCCTAGGGAAACCACGAGGCAGCTTCTCTATCCCCAGACAAGAAACACAAAGTAGCAGCAAAGCCTCTGACTGACACAGACAAATGAGCAAGGCACATTCACTCCAACTGCTGCTCCAACTCTGCCCTGTGACACACAAGGCGCTCTTCTTGGTTTGTGTGTGACCAGGTGACTGAGACTCTGGAGGTACTGGAGGCAAGACCAAGCCCGTTTGTGCCAAGGGGTAACCTCGCCTCTTGCTCAAGTATATTCTGAATAGAAGTGACATCTAGTGTCACCAGCATATGTCCATATGTGAGCCCATATGAGCTAGCCTAGAGCACATGCCTCAGTCACTACTGTCCCCCCTGTGACCACTCTGCTACATCACGGCACGGGTAAGGCACAAACCAAGAATTGGTAACACAAGCACACACGCGCCTTGCTCACATTTCAATTCATATCACCTCACAATTTTTCAGAGTGCGACGGTGTGTATCTGTGTATATATATGTATGTGTGTTTGTGTCCATGTTTGTGTGTGTGTGTGTGTATATATATATACACACACACACACACACATACGTTTGTGCATGTGTGTTTTGTGTGTCTCTATGTGTATGCATAGATGTACGTATGTGTGCCTCTGCGTATGTATGATGTGTCTGTGCATCTATATATGTGTATATGCATATATATGTGTGCCTGTGTTTTTATGTCTATAGATTATTGTGTTTGTGTGTGCACATACGTTTATCTTTCTTGGGAAAATCAGGATACAATTTTAATGTCTCTCATGCAAATACTTTTAGTGTCTTCTCTACATATGAATTTATCATGTAGCTGAGAAAACAAACCACAGGGATTCCCAGGCAGCCCCATCCGAGGCCCCAAAGCATAGACTTCTGTGAACTTTTCACAAGTGAGCTATGTTGGCGTTCTTTTCTTAAAGGGCACCTCACCACCAAATGTGTAACTTTCAAATCCCATGAAGTGAGACCCAGTCCTGGTCTGACATCTCCCCGTGCAGCAACCAGCAGGCCACTCCATGAAATGGCGGCTAACATACCGGGGAGAATAGGGAACAGCAGGAGGGGGAGGAATGTATAGGTCCAGGATGGCTGGCTTCTCTTTCTTCAGGGAGGCATCCATGGTGCTCTCTGGGGACTGGGTTGTGGTGGGCGGGGGTGAGGTCTGCAACGAGAAAGCCACACACGGAGTGAAAAAGCAGAGGTCAACATGGAGATTATTCTTGATGTACTTTTCCCCCACTCCACACAGAGCAAGGTCTGAGTGCAAGCAGATGCTGAGCTCACCCACACACTCATGAACACTACCAGCACTTGGTGTCTCTGTTTCCGCTAAGCAGTCAGCTCACAGTGGACTTAGAAGCCACAAGGTTTTAACTCTACCTTTAGGAAATCCACCTAAAAACCCGAGGCTCAGTTTCCTCCTTTGTAAAACCGACATCCTACAGGCTGAGAAAAGCACGCACCAGCGTCCCGCTGATTCCGAGTGTGGCCTTGAGGCTGTGAGTGTGATCCTGGCTAGCCTTCTGATTAGCTGCACACCGCTGAGGCAGCTCGCTCAAATTCTGTGCCTCATCTGTGTGACTGACGGAAATCGATGGGAACAAGATTGTCACCCAGCTGCGCTGCCGTGGTAACGGAGATAACACATAGGAAGGGCACGTGACACGCTTGCCCCACAGTAAATATACAACTCGGCTGAATTTAGCAACGGGTGGCCACAGTCCAAACACTCGTGTATAAAGTAACTTTAACAGTTAAGTACTTACTTTGATTACATCACTGGCCTCAAGGGACTTACATCTTACTTAGATATTTAATATGTATACGTGACCGTGTTTGGATCCATTCCACGCCCATTTCCCCTCTTCCTCTCTCAAATGCTTGTTCTCTCATTCCTTCTCCGCCCCCATCAGCAGGCCTCTAACCTTATGGCCACTGAGTACTGCCTGAATGAGAATGGGTGCAGGGCCATGTGCTGCAGCGTGGCTGGCCCATCAGGGCCCACATCCCTGAAGAAAAATGACTCTCCATCCCCAGCAGCCATCAGTTGCCAGCGGCTCCTCAGAGTGGTAAGACTTCACGAGTTGGGTGACCCGTGCTGGGATTTTGGGACATGCAGAGAAGACTTACCCTCTAAAATCCCCTGTGACACCTTCTACCTTGTTTCCTCTACAATTAACCATGACACTGACCAACCAGCTCCAGCTAAAGGACCAGCCGGGTCCTCACAGTTTGTATGGCAACCACTGAGGAAGGTGACAGACTCTGTGAGGGAAGGAAGTGCTTCCTTTTGACCTCGGGTTGCAATGGATACAATGGAAGTTAGTGGGAGAGTTAGTCAAAGTGACAGCTCCACTCAGCAGGCATACAAAGGTACAGAGGCATGGGCCCTGTCTATCTAGGATACTCTCCCAACCTGAGCCCTTAACTCAGTTCAGTATGGAATTCATTGCTATCCAATAAGTCAGTGTTTGAAAACACAGGGCCAGACTCCAGGCCCTCCAGAGCACTCCCGTAAGACACCCCGCCTTCCCCAAGTCCCAACATCAAGAATGACTTTTGTTTAAGAAAACCCTCATCTGTCAGGATGCAGCCTAAAAACGGAATGGTGGCCATCTCTCACCGGAAAGGACACACTAAAGGTATTGAGAAGGAGGAGATGACACTTCACCCCACCCCCAGAGTGTTAAGCACCCAGACATAATGAACACTGAAGACTGAGGTGGGAAACGCCCGGGGTCAGGCCCAGGGTTAGGCTGAGCAAGCCTATGTTCCCATCTGGCAGTGTTTAGGGTCTGAAAACACCCTGGCTCACAGCAAGAGCACTTGGTAGCTGAGGCGAATGACAGCTTCCACATCTTCATCGGGGTTACTTCCCTGGGTCGGAAACAAAATTAAGTGTGTTTCCATGTCTCTCCAGCCACGAAGAGAGAAAAAAATGGATGTGTGCACCTTCCAAAGTCTATTTCCAAAAGTCAAGGGATGAGTGGGCTGGAGAGATGGCTCAGCGGTTAAGACGACAGCTCTTCCAGAGGTCCTGTGTTCAATTCCCAGCAACCACATGGTGGCTCACAGCCATCTGTGGTGGGATCTGATGCCTTCTTCTGGTGTCTGAAGAGGACGACAGTGTACTCACAGACATTAGGATGCACTCAATCCAATGTCGTCTGTGTAACGGAAAGACTGAGGGAGGACCATGGGAAGACAAAGAGAGAAAAGGCAGCCATTTCCAAGCCAGAGAGTCAGGCATCAGCAGGGCCCAACCCTGCAGATACCCTGACCTTGAAACCCAACCACTCCGCCTATAGATCTCTGTTATGGCAACCATAGCTACGTAACAAAGATAAGAATATAAAACTAGGTGTCAACCTGCCACCTGAGGGTGAAGTCCACGTCCTCTAGCCTGGTACCCTATCTCTGCTATTACATTTGCTCAACTTTACCTACCATCGGCCACTCCAGAGAGTTTGTGGTGACTGTGAAGGCAAATTGGGGGCCCCCATACTGGGATCTCAATCTTCGGAGCCAAAAGTTCAGAGCCATCTCTTCTGTAGAGAATGGCTCTCAGCAGACAAGGCTACGTCTCCTAAGAGGGGCCAGCCAGCCTGCAGCTGCCTGATTCCACAGGACCCTCTGTCCTGTGTAGCGGCCACAGGGGGACCTGTCCTTTCTTCGTGTGCCTTCCCCCTTCCCTTGGAACATCTGCCTTTAAAGCTCACATGGTAGAAACCTCAATTCTGCTTCTGAGAACTGATCTAAAACAACTTCCGCCTGCAGGCCATGCACCCATGCTGGAGGGGGGGTTTGGGGGGGGCTAAAGAGTGAGACCCATCCTCATCTGCCAGTATAAATGCCACCTATGTCCCAGCTGAAGGTACCAGACCCCATCAGCAAGAGGGACCTCACCCATGCAGTCCCTGCCCCTCCCTCCCCCCCCCCCATGTCTGGCTTCAGGATGACAGTAGTTAACACATGTATACTTGAAAACTGCAAGAGAAGAGACTAAAATATTTTCACCACAAACATAGGCGTGTGGGGTCATGCGTGTGTTAACAATACCCGAAGATCTTAAAATGCTGCATTGTGTATGTAGTTTACGTGTTGACTTATTCTTTTCACACTTGATTTTATGCATATGACTGTTTTTCTGCATGCGTGTCTGTGCACCACATGGGTACAGTGACTGTGGAAGCCAGAAAGCGCCGGATCCCCTGAGCTGCAGTTATGGGACTGTGAGCTGCGGTGTGGGTACTGGGAATGGAGCCTGAGTCCTCTGGAAGAACAGCCAGTGCTCTTAATTGCTGAGCCACCTCTCTTTCCTCTTAAACCCTAGGTGACTGTGTCACCGTGTCCCACATGCTCTGGCTCCTGAGTTCCACTCTGGTATCTACACCTGCAGATACAACTGCCGCACTGAGTGTCACAAAGCGCTCAGACACACAGCTGGAAAGTCCTGCGCTTTTCACATCAAGATGCGAAATAAAAAAATCACAGACAGCTCTACAGACGAAGTGAGACCTAAGATTTAAGGACCTTTCAGAGACAAAGTCTCACTTTGTAGGCCTGGCTAACCTGAAATTTACTTTGTAGCTCAGGCTGGCCATGAATTCTCAGGGATAGACCTGTTAAGGTGTTAAGGGCATGCATCGCCACATTTAGCTTAAGGACCTTTTCTAAAAACAAAACCAAAGGTTTAAAGTGTCACTGAGAAGAAACAGAGGCTGACAGGGGTTTGCTGAGGGTGGAGAGATGTCTCTGGGTCCCTTAGCCTCAGCGAGACAATAAAGGCAGGTTATGCGTCCAGAGGCTTTAAGTAATGAAACTCACCTGCTGCCGGTTTGCCTTGACTCAACATGGGCTGGTGATTCTGAACTGTGCCTAAGCAACAAGGTACAGCTGCTGCCCACCACCTGAGTTCAATTCTCTAACCCCACCTGACCCTAAAAGCACGCTAAGCATCATGGGAGGGCCACCGTCAGGTTCAAGCTGTGTGTCCTGCACCATGTGCCAGCTGCTAGCACCCCACAGCTGAAACATTCCTCCTACAAGGAGAAGGGGGTGGGGGGCGCCTAAGAGTCAGAAAGTAAACAAAACACGCAAAGGTGGGGATACTCTTGAAAGTTACAAGAATTTCTCCCAACATTACATTGGTAGTAACATGGTTGCTGGGGAGAAGAGATACTCGCAGGACGGATGAGACTGCTTGCCAGTCATGCCAGGGATGCTAAGGATGCAGCTTTGGTGAGTTGTCACTCATGCTGGGGCGGGCTTTTTCAGTGACAGAGCAGCCTCTGAGTCACCATGCTCCTGTAAGTAGCCCCAATAAACCGACTGTCTCACTCAGCTAGACTTGGATGAAATGACTTCATTGGTTGGCCACAGAAACCCTACCTGGGATAAATGGACACTTGTTTGTTGTCTCCCCAGGAAAAGTCACAGAACTTTGCTGAAAATAAGTGACAAGACATAAGACGAGCCTTCTGCCTGTGGCACCCATGGGTGGCAGCACCTGGAACATGGCTGGTGAGATGGAGGTACTAAACTGACCTTTTAATTATTTAAAGAGTCGCATACGGCAACTGGCTACCACACTGTTCAGCAAAGACCTGGAGTGTATGTTTTCACGCAAGCAGGACTGAGGAGTAATGACTGGCAAACCACAGCTCCTAAAACCAACCACCTTCAACCTTAATTCCATTTTTTTAAGACCTTGACCACAGTCCTCTCTAGATGAAGGTCTCCGATGGGCAGTCACCTGCACGAGGGGTGGCTTCCAGCGCAGGTTCTTCAGTGGGGCCGGAGTGAAGCTGAACGAGCCTGTGGGCCTCTTCTTCAGCAGCAGCACCACGCCCGTGGGATTCTCTCTCAACTTCTTCACCAGATTTTTCAATTGCCACCCAACCTTGAAAGAGGGAGAAGGAGGTGTGGTCATGAGCCATGAAAATCTACCCAGTGAACTTAGCTCAAGAAATTCAAGTTATGAGCAAACAGGTAAATGGTGAAGTGTGCTCAGCTTGGCACTACTCTAAACAGTGGAAATACAGGGTACGAGTTGTAAGTTTTTTTTTAATATAGAGGTCATAGAGACGGATCAGCCGTTAAGAGCACTAGCTGTTCTTGCAGAGGACTGGGAGTTCCATTCCCAATACCCATGTTGGGTAATTCACAACTGCCTATAAGTACAGCTCTAGGATATCTGATGCCCTATTCTGACACACCTCTGCACATATATGTGCACACACACACATGTACACACACACACATTTTAAAATATAAAGGTAATTAAATTTTCTGAAGGGAAATCAGTTTTCTGGAGGGAAAATTATATTGTAATAAAGGAACTCACCACTGTCTGCCGATTGACTTGAATGACCTCGTCGCCAGCATGAATCTTCTGAGATCTGTCTGCAGGAGACTGCACAGAAACAGAGAGACTGGCTTAGGTGTTTAGCCCTCTCCACCTTTAGTTCTTTCTTCTGTAGAAGAACTAGCAACAGAAATAAAGCTTCCTCAAGAGAAAATAAAAACAATGTATCAAAGTAGTCCACAGCCGTCGTGTATAAATCTTGTGTAATCTATTATGATGTTGATTACAGTGGATAACCTCTCCATTAACACCTGAGTTTGTCTAAAATACAAAGTGTGCGGGTATACTGTTGAAAAAGCTGATAAAAGGCACGAATTCACCTAAAAATGATAAGTAAGTAGCTGGGAAACCTTACGCATCTCCCCGTCAACATTCACCTTGCAAAAGTCAGTAAGCCATTTCGTGTGTAAACATCACTGTAATTCTTACATCCATTTTCCTTATAAACATAAATCTTTTTCCTATCTTGTTTTACAGATCGTCATGATGCTATTAAAATGAGAAGTTAACAGAAACAGAAATGTTATTTCTTTAAAAAATTTTTATCAGTAAGTTATACTCAAAATGGGTACAGCTTTAGTAAGAAAAGAATCAAAGGATGGGAAGGCAGCTAAGCAGGAATGGGGCTTGCCCAGGGCCTCGGGGAGGCTGGACATCGCGAGTGTGTGTATGTGTGTGTGTGTGTGTGTGTGTGTGTGTGTCCACACTCTGTATTCCTACAGCAAGACAAATGGCAGACACAGGAATCTGGAAGTTCCCAGGCCGACTAACCTGAGTACTCAGTGGCAAACAACAGAGTCTGTCTCAAGGTTGAAGGTAAACCCAAGGTTGTTCTCTGACCAACACAAACACACACACACACACACATACACACACACTGTGGCATATGCACACCCAGAGGAATATACACACATAGTTCCACAATCATACTGGTATATATACACGAATGAACATACACTGACACACACACATCATATACACACACAATACACATCATATACACGTCATACATGCAGAAAGATTTTTAAAAGGAGAAAAATGTGGGGCCAGAGAAATGTTTCTGTAGTTAGGAGCACTGGGTGCTCTTCCAGAGGACCTACATTCAAGTCCCAGCACCTACATGGTATCTCACAACTGTCTGTAACTCCAGTTCCAAAGAAACTGGCACCTTCACACAGACATACAGGCAGGCAAGACACCAATGCACATGAAATAAATCTCTTTTTTAAAAGTATGCTTTGTGCCTTCTGAAAGCTATTGCTTAACAACAACAGAAAGCCCATCAAGGATATAAGCCACTTGTCAAACGTGGTGCCAAGAGCATTCTTGTTCACTAAGTGAACGAACTCTTTCTGTTTAAGACATATCACACGGTGAAGCGGAAAAAAGATAAACTTTTGGTTTCTAATTAAACATTATCTAGGTCACAGTAATTAATTTTGTAAGGTATATGAGTGGGTGACACTTTAATTTACAGTTATCTGAGAGCGAAATTGCACCTTTGAACATGAGGGCAGGCAACCAGAATCAAAACACACTTGCTGGATTTTTCTCACTTGGCTGCTGCGACAGGCTCAACAAGAAATTAGCTGGCGGTGTTAAACTGCAGAAACGCTGCCTCTGGTTCGTCAGCTGAAAGCTCAGGTAACTATGCTGGGTATTTTCAAAAACATCTCCTTCGTTGCCATAAGAACAAGCAGAGCTTCACCCGAGACTAGCAACAGCTCAACAGGGAGGAAGAAAGACACAAGCCCAGAGCCTCTTCCTCTTTTTATGGGCTTTTAAACAATGAGTGCTCCTTTCTGCACCAGTGTGTGGACTCCTGAAGTTAAGTCTGACTCTGTGGACACCCTCATCAGCACCATCCACTTAACCCTGAGGAGCCGAGGATTCATTTGAGGCAAGCATCATTTTATAAGAGATGCCCTCGGTGCCCTTGATAATAGGCACAATCTTAAAACACATGAACTACTGTCCTCACCTGACCTCCCTTCTGAAGGACACTCGTGCCTGCGTTTCTCAAATGTCCCATCAAGTCCCATCAAATGTCCCATTCAGGGCTGTGTTTGGCAGAGCACTGAGAAAGAGAGAGCCCAATACCAAAATCTCCCCAAGTCAGAAGTGCTTGCCTATCTTCACCACGAGTCGGACTACAGAACAGCGATGCCTGCTGTGGTGTGTCCTCAGAAAGGTGGTGGCCTGAGGGACAATGGCCCCATTCTTCTGAAGTACAACCAGTTCCCACCTCTTCTAAGGCAGAAGGCTGGGGAACAGAGGGGGCTGTTCAGGCTCTGGAATAAGATCACTACATCAAAAACAGATGTCAGAGAGAGAGCACCACAGATTGATCTGCTTGACCCTGGCTGCTCAGGTCACCCTAAGAACATGCAGGGCTCCGCTAAGAAGGGCCTGCTGGCTTTCCGTCAGCCTGGAGTGCAGGACGGGAGTAAGTGGAGGCAGAAAGGCAGCGGATGACCTCTGATCACCAATGTCGCCTTCATCCAAAGACTCTAAGGGAAATTACAGTTACCTCCACTGACACGTGAAGAGCTGGCCTGGAGCTACCCACGGATCACTGGAAAGCACTCTGAGCACACCCTTGAGAAGTAAGATCATAGCTATTCCGCAGCTACAGGGCTTAGCCCGGAGTTTAGCACATTTACAGGCCCTCAGTAAATGCATGCCTAAAACTAAAGTAATGGATAATATTTAAATGGGCTGCCAAATGGAATTAAATGAGCTTTTTTTCATTTTTCTTCATCTTTAACATGGTGGTGGTTTCTATTCAGTTCTGAATGGGGACACCGGAACAGCCTATATGCTGATGAACCATAGGTCTGCCACCCAGGTTTATGATCCCGGTAGGAATTTGGAGAGGAAATATCATTATTCATATCTGACATTTCATTTGATTCAAAGGCAGTATTGTTTAGTCTCCCATTTACCTCTCCCCTTTAAAGAACCAAGCAGCCTGTGGCTTCCGGCAGCAGCACACGAGCACACTACACATTTATCCAAGAGTCGTGTGGCTTCAAGACGACCTGGGAGAGACTGCAACTGCCCAAGGTCTGGTCAAGCCGACAACATAATTACCAAATTACAAGACTTTACAGCTTCGTCCTTTAGACTGAAATGGTTAGCATCCTTCTGAATCCCTCCAAACCTGTAACAGTGTATAAAGTAGGACCTGAGTCTGCTCCTGTCAGGATTGTGGGGGAGTACACCAGTAAGAAGTGAGGATGGATTATATAAAGGATTATGTCTGTTCCTTTGAAAACACGCCCAGACGAAAATCTTTTAAAGTTTCCTATACCATTACTACCTATGGGGTGAAATGGTATAGAAATTCCTAGTGAGGGCTAGGGAGGTGGCCCAGCGGTTACGAGCACTTACTATCCTTGCAGTGGACTCAGGTTTGGTTCCCAGCACCCATAGCAGACAGCTCACAACCACTTAAACTCCAATCCCAAGGGATTTGACTCCCTCTGGTGTCTGTTGGCACCTGGACTCTTGTGGTGCATAAAAACTCTTGTAGGTATACACAAAATACATACACAAAATAATTTAATTAATTAACTAATTAATTGAAAATTTCTTTTATTTCCGGCAGGGAAGACTCCATCTCCCACTCATTTGTCTGTCAGGACTACAAGACTGATTTAGGATTACTCAAGCAATGCCATTTTCTCACTGTAAAACTTGAGAGCTCGTAACAAGCGGTCACCAAAGCTGCCATCACACTGGATCAAAAGGACTAGTGTGAAACAATATTAGACCTTTTCACCACGCCAAGCAGATTGAAAAAAAAAAAAAAAAAAAGACTGACAAATTTCTCTCTCTATTTTGGAATGATGTCCTCCTCCCTTGATCAAAAAGCCTCCTGCCCGAGACACATGCCACTCTGACACAGCAGAGGGAACTTGCTGAGATGCTCCTGCTTCGTGCCAGTATCCCCAACCCAGAGTTCAGGTTGCAAGAGAAATACACTCACCTAGCTCTGCTGTTCTTTCAAATTCGCAGTGTTTGAGAGGATCTGAGTAGGCCCCGGGTTGGGGAGAAGGCTCAGTGGGTAACATGCTTGCTATGCACACCTGGGACCTAACTTCAGATCCCCAGCACCCGAGTAAAAACCTAGGCATGGTGGCACACTCCTATAACCCTAGAGGCAGAAAGAGGAGAAATCCCGGGCCTTGCCGGCCAGCCAATCTAGCCAATCAGTGAGCTCCAGGTTCAAAAAACCATCTGTTCAAGAGATAAGGTTGAGAGCAACTGAGGAAAATACTCAGTGTTGACGTCTACCCTCCACACAGATGCACACCCATACACGTGAGCACATACACACACCAACATGTACAGAAACACACACTGCACTCTGTACCTATGGCCACTAACCCCAGGTCTTCTGTGAGTGACTCACAACAACAAAGACATGGTTATTTTTATACTTTTGGGTTCGCACCTCTGTGGTGCAAAAGGAATAATTAGCACAAGAGTAGAGGGAAAAAAAAGAAATGAAATAAAGAAATAAAGAAATAAAGAAGTAAGGAAAGATAGAAAGAAAGATAGAAAGAGAGAAAGAAAGAAAGAAAGAAAGAAAGAAAGAAAGAAAGAAAGAAAGGAAGCAAGCTAGTTGACATGGCACATGAACCAGAGCAATAAAGGGCAATTTAAATAATAAACTGACAACAGCTGGTAAGAGAAGTAGCAGCCAATCAGCTGACAGGATAAACATAACCGGCCACCGTCAGCTCTCACACCAGTTAACATCATGGTAACATCATGCACACACTAACCCCAGAGCTCAGAGCGGTATCAAACGTGTCTAAGCACACCGGGCTTGTATGCCTCACGGATGCACACTTACGTTTTCTGTGGTTCCGGTAATCACATGCAGTCCATCGTAGGTTGACTTGATGTACATGCCCTAGAGAGAAACACCAACATAGGAACTCTTTACTCCAACCTTCACGGGGAGCTGCGGTGAGACATGAACTTTCAAAACTCTGTGCACTCTTGTAGGCTTTCAGAACACCAGGAGTCTCAATCCAAAGAGGGGAGGGAGGGAGGAAGAGAGAGAGAAAGGAAGGGAGGGAGAGAGCGCACTAAACAATTGAATACCAGCCGATGAGATCAGCTAGGTAGATAGGCGAGTCTTTGATGTAACAATGTGAACACTGGGCACACAGGATTCTGCCACAACTCTAGGATGGAGAAATTTTCTCAGACCCGCTCAGGGAGCCAGGCATTACAAACAAGGGCTATTCTTCTCTGACCATCACTTTTTCCCAGAGAAACAATGCAGTTGGTTCCATCTGGTATCAGTGGTACTCATGGGACCACTTATTCGAGCCTACTGTAATGCAGACGGGCTTTGGGAGGAAGCGTGTGAACCTGGACAACACGGAGAGCAGATCGATAACTGGCACTGCTCTGTGCGAGGGAAAGCTGGAGGATGGGCGAATATGCTTTCCTGAGAGACACCGCGGCAACTCAGACAATAGACTGTGTTACCAGACAAATATCTCTACAGTTCAACAGCACAGATATAAATGTTCAAATTAAACCACTACAAGATGAGAGGAAACAGAAGGGGGGCAGACTGTTTTACCCGACATCTATACTGAACCTGTCCTGCTCTGTAGGCTACACCCCTCAATGTTCCCACTATTCCTCCCAAGGCCTTCCATCTGCACTCGGTGTGCTTCCACCCACAGATCTGTACATCCCTCCCCCAGCCATCACTGGTACAGCGCTGTGGTAGGAAAGGACAATTCCGTCTCATCCCACTCAGGGCAAGGATCTGATTTGATCCTTGGCTACAAACTCACATCCAGGAATTCCTCCCGGTTTAGATTTAAACTATGCTAATCCATTCTTTACTATGAAAGCCAAGTAACAAGGTGTACTCTAACCACTGAGAATTTAGGCTTCTTGACAGGGATTTTTTTTCTTTCCTATTTAAGAGACTGCCTTACAATTCCTCGCAACAATGTATACATTGGTGACTGTGTCTCTTTATGGCCATCTAGCAGCAGCAGCAACAACCGTAGCTACAGCCACCCCCTCATACAAGCTGTGCCCTGCTCAGCACTAGGCACTAGAGTCACCCATTCAGCAGGCCTATCTATGAGAAAGCCCACTGTGAGCTCGCGGACTCCAGGGCTCTAAGCTGGGCTTTGAGCCTCATGGCTTTCTGAAGCTCTCCAAATGTATCACCCGGGAGTCCTGCTGCCTGTGAGAAGGATCTGTATGCATCCCGAGAGCTTGCTATTCTATATACCCCACTCAAGGAGGGCGGAAAAATCTTCGAAATTTTCCTAGGAGTCATTTCCTTCCACCAGCCTCTCCTCACACCCATCTTAAGTGCTGACAGAGACTTCCAGAATAGATGCTTTGTTCCCACAGACCACCTCTCTCCATTGTTGAAATGTTTTATATTTCCTTGCATTTCGAAGGCCTAAAAATAAATCTGTTAAGAAGGGAGGGTACAATTTTTAAATTATCTTTATTTTTACACTTGAAGGATAACCTTCTTAACAAAGTTTAAGGTGGCAAATCCCTAACTATATGGAAGATAATATGATATCATGTCATCATACCATATCATATCACTCCACTATTCAGAGCTCCAGAGAAAACAGGAAGACTCAGTTTAGTGCTTTAGTAAATGCTGGTGTACTGTACTGGAAAGCTAAGAGAATGCTTACCAGGCCTTCCCCGGGTCTAACATTCGGTAAGTGAACTTCCTCCAGGCACGCACACTGGCTCATAACAGGATCCGTAGTAGAGCGCATTGTTTTGTCACAGATGCCATTTAAAACCTTGACCTGGAATCGAGGAAGTTCAAACATTAACCAGGCTTATCTCAGGCTCATTTGTAGAGCAGTACACCTCACGTGTCAACTTTGGCTCTGGCTAGCACTGGCTGTGGTAATCCTGCTCAAGGATGGCCTGGCACAGGGACACTGTCCACAGTCTGCAGAATGTTGCTACAGCTTCGACTTTCTAAAAAGCATGGTGTTTTATGACTACTGTAAAGCACAAACCAGGAAGAAACCCCACTGGGAGGATAGCTTAATGTAGGGGGTCACTCATGCTTTCTTAGATAGTAAATATTGACAAGGGGGGAAATATTCTGCTCTAAATCAGTTTTTGTTGTTGTATAGTTTGTAATAAACTTCAGGTTTAACAAACACATTGTCTGTAGGCTTTCTCTCTCCATGTGGTTTCCCCCACCATTAACATCCATCTGTATGGTGGTGTTTATTTTTACAGCTGATGAACCAATACCTAAATCCAGAACTTTCAGAAGTATTCACTTTTGTGGTGCATGTTCTCAATGTTTTGACAAACATTTAATGTTTTACATCCTTTATTAAAGCATTCCATTGGGTAATTTCATTGCCATAAGTGTCTCCTGTGCTCAACATAATAATCCGTTCTTCCTTGCCCTGGACTCCTGGCCAGCATTCATCTTCCCACTGTCTCCATGGCTTTGCTTCCTCTAGACTATCAACCAGCTGGAATTATTATACAGCATGCAGCTTTTCCTTATTGGTTTACTTCAATTAACAAGAAACATTCACGTTTTCTCTGTATCTTTTCGTGATTTGATAGCTCACTTCTTTTTATTGTTGAGTAATATTCTATGTTATGGATATACCATATGTGTTTATCCATTTACCTATAAAAAGACAGCTTGTGTGCCTCCACTTTGGGGCAATTAGGAATAAAGCTGCTATAAACATTAAACATAATTCAGGACAGATTTTTGTTGACATTAAGTTTACAACTCCTTTGGGTAAAGGCTCAACAGAGCAACTTGTAGATCATACAGTTAGAATATGCTTAGTTTTGTGACTAACTGCCAAACTGTCCTCTGAATTGCTCCAATTTGTTATCCCTCCAAGCAACAAGTGCCCTTGGTCCATATCATTGCCAACACTTGCTGCTGTCAGTGCTGACTTTTAGCCACTCTACTGACCATGTCCTGCTGGTCTCCTGGCTTCCGTCTGGGATTCCCTAATCACGAAGTGAACATATTTCATGTGCTTCTTTGCCCTCTCCACATCTCCTCTGGGTGTTTTTAAAATCTTCTCCTTCCACCTGTGGCCTGACACCTCATTGTCTTCAAGGTGAGTCTCACAGAGAGAGCTTGTGGTTTTAATGGAGTCCACTATTCCTTTTTTATTGATAAGATTCTTCTTTTGGTTTTCTATCTAAAATCTCCTCTGAAGCCCAGATCACCTAGACTTCCCTCTGATGTTTCAGTTCCACAGTTTGATGGTTTTTCCGTTTTGGCTCCATGACCTCAATGACCCCTCGATGTCACACTATTCGTGACACTGAAACTCTGCAGAGACGGGAGAGTACCTACAGGGAGGGGTTGTCCTACAAAGGCCACCAGAAGTATGCACGTATTCTGGAAGTCAGAGCATCTACTCTTCCAAAATCAAATGACCAGAGGCATTCGGAAATTCCAAAGCGTGACTTTACTTTCCAAGGGAGAGAGTCCATAACATGTACCTTCTCACATTCCTCCAGTTTTGTTTAGCTCCCCTATTTATGGAAAATATATTTATAGCAGTTTCATTGCCAAATTCCTCAACTGAACCAGAGGAGGGTTTTATCAAAAGGGCACAGGCCGACTGTGTCAAAAGGAGGAAGTGATGATGAATCCTTCCAGAATGTTCTTTACATAGTCATAGGACATGCACTTCCCCTATCTCAAAGTTCTTGCCAAGGTTTTTCTTTTTAATTGAAATAGTTCTGCAATGAAGTATGCATATAATTTTCACCCTTATTTGCATACTAAGCAGCTAGTGCATAATTGCACCCTGATGAATTTTCCAGAAGGGAAAAAATACAAAAATAAAATAATAAAACAACAGTAAAATCAAACAGAAACAGAGACCTCAGTACAGTCAATAAGCACAGGAATTTTCATAAGCAGGAGTATCATTAAACATACTTCACTCTTCCATCTAGACTAAGATTCAAGTCCCAAAAGCCAGTGTTTCAAATTCCATCTTGACATCATTAGCCACAGGGCCTGTAATGAATATGATTCCTATAGCCTCTGGAAAATGAGTTGTATGGTAACTTTTAGAAAACAGACTTACCACATTTAAAACTTTATCCTCCATTTCTGCTACAAGGCAATCCTAAAGAAGAAGAAGAAATGATAATTAATGGGGCGAAGTAAATAATAAAAAAATAAGTATAAGAATGAAAAGCTTTTTAACAAGTTGGTTTAGCACAACTGGTCACAATAGGGAGGTGCCCAGCCTCAAATGATGTATCTACAACACAACCCTGCACACCTTAGGCTCGAGAGGAAATCCAGAAAAAGGTGTAGAAGGAAGTTAAGAGCCACTGGATCAAGATGCCTGTTGCTAAATAATGTCTTCTAGACACCACAGGGAAGCAGCACCCAGGAATCGTAACAATATGGCTGTCTGAACAAGACACTAACTAACACGACAACACAGACAGGGGAAATGTCACCCTCCCCAACTCCCCAAGGAGAAGAGTTACAGGCAGACAGTGGCTGCTGAGAGAGAGACCTGTTTCTTCCAGGGAAGGCCAGCCGTGAAAGCATGTGTAGTACTACAGGGGTTCAGTAGGGTGTGTGTGGGTGTGTATATGTGTGTATGTTTGTGGGTGTATATAAATGGATGTGTGTATGTATGTAGATGTGTGTACAGATGAATGTGTGTGTGTGCATACAGATGGATGTGTGTGTGTAGATGGATGTGTGTACAGATGAATGTGTATTTGTGTACAGACAGATGTGTGTGTGTATACATGGGTGTGTGCATGTATGCACAGATGAATGTGTATGTATGTGTGTGTATGTGTATGTATAGATGGATGTGTATGTATAGATGGATGTGTATGGATGTATGTGTGTATAGATGGACATGTATGTATGTGTGTGTGTATAGATGGACATGTATGTATGTATGTATGTATGTATAGATGGATGTGTGTGTACAGATATGTGTGTATATAGACGCCTGTGTATGTATGTGTGTATAGGTGTGTGTATATGTATGTATAACTGT